AGTGACCTAAGTGTGATTTAACTTTTGGTGCCTCCGTTTTCTCTTCTGTAAAATTGAAATTGACGTGGGAACGTTTGGGTTCTACTCCACACTAGTAAAACTATACACATGTCCTCAGTTTTCTCCTCTGTAAAATGGAAAGCATAATTTCTTGGTTGTTGGCTATGAAACTGTTCGGTAGAACATAATTTGGGGACTGCAAAAGACCTTCTTACTGGGGACTGGATTTAATTGTGTTATTACAATACTCAGCTGAAGGTGAGAAAGGAATGGAAAGGACGTCTCCTTTCTGGCCTTTAGACCCAGCATCCTCTTCACGAGTCATAGATGGCACTCTCCCCGCACCGGACTAGGACGTCCGAGCCGAGCTGTGCCGAGCCGAGCCGAGCAGAACGGCAGTCTTTTCTCAGGGAAAGCTGATGGTTGGCCCCTTAAAATCCACGTGCTGTCGGATGAACGCGCACTGGCTAGGCGGAGCTAGACCCAGACCCGACCATTCGGGAGGAAGGGGCGGAGAATGTGGTGACGTAAAAGTCACCGCATGGTCTACTTAAAGGAGTATGGTCACAACGCGTGTTCTTTCTATCCTTTTTTGGCCTTAGACAAATAATCACAATGGTTTTAAAGGCTGCGGGGTGTCCAGGCCTCAGGTGAGAAACAGATGAGAGATGACTCTCCCAGGGTGCTGGATTCAAGCCTGTCACCCAGGGAGGTAGCTTAGTGCAGTGGGAAAAGTACCCACTGGTCCGAATCCGGGGTTATTACTGTCCAGTCTCAGTTTCATCTCTGTAAAATGTAGTCTGAAGGAGCCCTGGTGGTGCAGCTGTTAAGCGCTTATCTGCTAAAGGCTAGGTGGTGGTTTCCACCCACCCAGCACTGTCCAGGGTGAAAGACCGGGCGATATGCTTCCGTAAAGATGGCAACCTGCATACAGACAGCAGAAGCCAAAGTAGATGACTGGGACCTTGTAAAAATTAGACACTTACATGCATCCAAAGATTTCTGTGGTAGCGTAGTGGTTATGAATCGGGCTGCGAACCTCAAGGTCAGCAGTTCAAAACTACCAGCTAGCTGCTCTGCGGGAGAAAGATGAGGCTTTCTGCTCCCGTAAAGATTTACAGCCTCAGAAACCCTGTACAGGGTCGCTATGAGTCGGAACCGACTCCACGGCACTTAACAACAAAAACAAAAGATTTCACAAAAAACACTCAAACCCACAAACTGGGGCCGGGGGTACTTTGACAATGACATATTAGATAATGGACTAGTCTCTAAAAGGTATTGTGAACTTCAACACCACCTTAAGAAAGACAATTCAGTTAATAAATGGGCAGATGACATGAAGGCACTTCACCAAAGAAGTATACAGGCAGCCAACAAATATGGAGAAATGCTTGTGGTCATTGGCCCTTACTGTTATGTGAGCCGGTATAAGGTTTCCACAGAGTGGCTGGTGGATTTGAACTGTCACTCTTGTGGTTACGAGTACAGTGCTATCCTACAGGGCCACACTATTAGACGCAAAGAAAAACAACAAGGAGCTATCATCTATCCCAGCATTCCAACAAACCTAAAACAAATGCTGGCAAGAGTAGGGAGAGATTTTGCTAATTTTAAGTGCCATCCTGTTGATTTTGACTCTTAACGAACCCTCACAAACTGCTGTAAAATGGTGCAACCACTATGGAAAATGGTATGGTGCTTCCTCAAAAAGCTGGTAATAGGAATACCATATGACCTTGCACTACATCTATCTGGTATATTTTGTTGTTAAGTGCGGCCATGCGGTTTCAACTCATCACAAACTTGTGGTCCAGTGCTTATCCTAAAGCTAAAGAAAGGGTAGACATGTGTTATCTTGGGTGATGGGGAAGATAATATATAATAAAAGGGAAGTTGGCAGAAGAATGATAAAGGCAGGGGGAGACAAAGGAAGAAGTGTAAGAATTAAAGGGAACAGAGATAAATACTGTTATATACATTGTTGTTGTT